AATGTATAGAGGTAGATTTACACAACAAATATCTTTGTTACAATAAAATCAAGGATTTGAATTCCATTACATTTAGGTAATAAGACTGAAAATTCTTTTAAAAAAAAGTCGTTTTTTAAAGAATACATGTAAAGTAGAAAATAGGCATTGCTTTAAGTGAAGAAGAACACTTCTTAATGGAGGCCAAAAAAGAAGTATGTGCCACCAACTAAAGTTTCAGGAAGTCTTTTGTCTGAGCAAAATATGGACACATTAAAGTTCCAGCATGAAAAAAGACTCACAGAGAACACGAGCAAGTCAAAATCACTAAAAAAAGTAAACCTGCAGACAAAAATATCAAACCTGCTACAGTTGCTTACTCCTCACCAAAGCCATCAACATCTGGTGTAACAAAAAGTAAAGGAGTCCCCATTGATGTACATGTATATTCATGCTCAGATGAAGGGTCTGATACAGACGAGCCAATGCTGTGTCTGTAAAGAGAGTTTTTCGCCCTAGTTAAGAGGATGTGCCTCCTTAGTAATTGTGAAATGGGGCCAATGTGATTTTTGTAGCCACTGGGTTCATTATACATATTTCAGTGAGAAGAGGCAGCACATTTAGGTGTGTGACAGTTCATTGTTACAGATAGTTTTTAACAGTTCTAAGTTAATTTTTGATATTAACAGTTGAACATTTATTTAAGTAAGTGATGTGTGTATGTAACATTTAGTGTTAATTGACAGTGTTTGACAGCACTTGACCTAATTACCGCGGAAACTGTGATATGACGTAAGAGTTTAAAATGGCTTCCTACACTTTATATTTTCAAAACATTAAATTGATGATACTGAAAAGTTTTTAAATGGAAGATTATGAATGAAAACATATGTTTAACGTATTAGACTAGAATAAAGAAGGTAAGTTGTTTTTAATTTCGCCATATAAATTTGAATAATTTTGTACTTAGTACCGCGGAAATAGAGATAAGCAGTACATGTATATCACAAACATATTCAAATTACATAACATAGAACTTGCGAGTAAAAATGTTTACTTGCAATAATGAATATCATTTTTTTATATTTTTTATATATATTACACTTTTAAGCATATTAATCACACATAGATTTTATATAGAAATAATGCAAACTTACGCTCGAACTTAAAATCCTTTTCAGACCATAAAGAGCGATCCTACAGCCAAAGAAAGTAAAATAAAGTGTTACGATGATAAAAAGGGATGTTTTTTCCTAACTTTAAATGAAGGCTAAATGACTCATATCATATTATATAATCATTTATATAAGAACAAAAAAAAACTTGTAAATTCATACTGACGCAAATGATATACATTTCAAGAAACTGTCGACGAAAATGATTTTTTTCATGTTTTTTTTTTTCATTTTCACAGTATATAATGAGGTCTATTTCCTGTTATGCAAGAAAATTTAAAGTTAAAATATATAAGCTACCAAGTAAGATTCAGTGAATGGAAGTAACTCGCGCTTATAAACGAAATACATTGTACACATTGAATTGTATAGACTCGCAAGACCTGATACAGTGATTTCGTTTATATACTGTAATTTTTGGCGATACGAAATAATGAAAATGAGTTACAGAACACCGTCTGATCCGTTACTATAGTAACAGTATGCTAAATAATATGCTTCCGGTCAGAGATCAGTTTTTTTTTAATTTCAGATATAAATATGCATGGCTTATTTTTGTTTATTCGTCTGCGAATATTTGATCCCCTAAGTCAAAATAGCATAAACTGTCGCTCAAATGACATTGATATTGCAAAACTCCCAACCCACTGTAAGGTCCTATAAAACTCAAATACGTAACAGCTTAATGATCGTGGTCCAATCTTTTTTTTTTTTTTTTTAAAAAAAGGCATAGCAGCCGTGCAATACCTGGGCACACTTCCCGCCCACTCCCTTTTTAAGGACTCTAAACCTATATAGGTTTTAGCTGTTTAGGTTTAGAGTAACACATACATGTAAAAACTAAACAGCTATAAATAACTTGACACTTTAAATTTAGTGCATGTCAGCACTTTCTATATTATGTATTCTTTATATTGAATTCATGCTGACACGAGTTAATAAGGTTAAGTTATTCTCTTACATTGTTACGTTGAAGCAACATACATATTCATACGGTTTATCAAAGTTAACGTGACCTTGTCGCGTTACGTCCTACGTCATATTGCTGAACGTTAATAAAGTATAATATTTATGTATCAATTTCTTCACAGATACAATCTCAAATATACATGTTTAAGTCATATACATGTTTAAGTCATAAAAAGTTTATTAAATCGACTATAGTTATACATACATCAGTAGAAACAGACACAATTAATATACGCCTATGTGACATACATCTACCATCATTTTGTGCGTGCAATAAAACGTCGGAAATAAGTACATGTGTAGTTATTATTTTAAAGACTCGCCACATCTAGGTCTACAACTTAATACATGTATTACCACGTATATTCACACACATATAATGCGAACAATTCCATACAACACAGCATTTATCATACTGAAATACATTAACATACTTTTTGATTAACACACTTTGTATCGTACACAATCCTACCTCGAGCTTCACACATAGTTCACATTCCATTATACCTTCCACACCAAAATATGTAGTAGTTAAACTCACCTCTATATAGCTGAGTAACAAACTAGTACATTTAAATCACCAACTATCAAAACCGCTTGATGTCCTGCTGAAACACTGAATTTCCAATAAGATATGGTAATTCAGTTTTTAAAAACCACTTTTATTCTTAAAACACTTCTGTAAACGTCACTCTAAAACACCAATATATACGTCCTAATGTTCAATACATACGAGCTATAGAATTCTTGAATGAAACTCTTGTTCTATGCACTGTAGTAAATTTTGTTTATGTCATTATAACATGCCTTGTATTCACAAAGCGCGTCGGAATTCAGGTAAAGATATCGGTATTAATGACATTGCGAATAACAACCGCAGTGGGGGTATAGTCAATAAAATATTCTCCTTTAAACCCGCTACAGGTAATCTAGGTCGAATGCTCTACGTTGCACTGACGCGATCATGTCGGTGTAAACATCACGTGAATATTTACCTGTAAAATATTTAACTTGTTCGTGACGTGGTAACAAAAATCGATAAAAAGATTGTGACCTATCTAGCTATTTTTAGACTTTGACTAAATTCCTTCAATATCATACCATTTCAAAATCTAGGACGGGAAAAAGCCTCTTACGAAATGATTATGATTAACTGCCAGTTAAAGTTAATGTTAGTATCAGATTACTAAAATAAAAAACAGAAATAAAGGACTCGTGACAGAATTCAAGAATGACGAAACAACATCATGCTCACATTTTAGCTGAATAAGCATTCTATTCTTCACATAAAATGATGAAACAATACAAAAATACAGCAGATAAAAGTTAACAACAACAACAAAGGGGCAAATTCGTTGAATTCTATTAATGATTTAATGACCAAATTATGTGGATATGTGACCTTAATTGGCATATGAGAGTATGAGAGTACATATGATATAAATACTTTATGATTACCCAATCTCAATCTATATGTGCCACTGCCACTAGGTTTAATAAAAAAGTTTAATGAAGTGCATTTTTTTACATCGAGCTTCTTTTTGAATAATGAAAGGCCCATTATGCCATAGAAATGCTTTTATTTTTATTTCTCAAAAAATATTAAATTTGTGTACTTTTATAGTATCCAAAAAGTTACCCATTTTCCAATTACTCGAACCATCTTTTTCATTTGCTGCATTTTAGCTGCTTTTCAGCAATAAGTACAAAATGAATAAGTATTTTGTATGGAAGTCAAAATACTTCTTTGTTATTTCACAAATATAGCTACTTTATGTAGGCAACAAGCATGTTATGCTTTAAAACCTTTATTTAAACATAATAAAATTCGTCTTTGTCCAATTTAAAGAACTAAAAATTTATTTGTTTCTGAGGCATAATGGGCCTTTAAACTGAAACTCCACAAAGGAAGAACTTCAAATTTCTGATTCTCATCCATTTACTAGGTGCATATTTGAAAACACGAAAGAAAAAGTAACCGAGGTCTTTTGCCATCGAACTCTGTTTTTAATGTAAATGATTTTCATGATTTATATGTACATGTATATACTCGCCTTTTTTATTTTCCAAAGCAACATTTCGCAGTGAAAGTGGTGAGCTAAATCAAGAAATTTTCTATTTCTAATAGTATTACATTTTATTTGAAATTTTTGCTTTTCCGGCCCTTTTCTTAATACTTCCATAAAGGACCTTAGTTATATAAAGAAATAAATTCGCTAACATAATGATGGATATTGCGACAATATGTAAATTTATAGCTCTGAAACACTGAAAACCAGTTTGTTCCTTGTTAAGTTTTACTTAAAGCTTTTGAAGCAAATACCTTTGTTGGTTTATCCTTTTTTCATTGAAGAAGTATATGTTGATGTAGATTATCAGAAGCGTTTACTGGCCGGATATCTCCCTTCCTATTTGAAAACAAATGTAGCATTGTATTCAAGGCAGTGAATGCAAAATAAAATCAATTATTAAAATGAATCTTTCGCTATTTTTGCTGCCTGGCTAGGTCACAGTAAGAACTGAATGTTGTTTCATCCATTTATTGTAGGGAAGTTTGTGAAAGAAAATGTATGTCGCTTAAACAATAGTTGATAAATACACTAGTACCCGACAGCCAGAATCAATGACAACCAGTCAGGTTCATTTTCTCAATACCACTGATACGTAGAAAATCATAAGTATCATACGTATTAATTAGCTTGTATATCGCATATCAAGTAAATTTGTTTACGACTGTGTGTATGAACATCTTTCGATGTATATGTAAGAACTACATCTTTAAATTTTGAACGGGAAATTTGTTCGAGGTATTTCTTAAACAATATTACAAGCGCATACATGACTTTCCTTGTAGCAAAACAAAACAAAATAATAATAAACATGGTAACATTTATGATGTACACAAATCATCTGACAGCAAAACGCTTTATGTCCAGAAACTTAAACAGTTAAATGACAAGTCTATTTATATCAATAAATTTCTCTCATTAATTCTGCTTTGATTCACATTGCGCTTATTCTTGTCTTGCAAGGAAGTAAGCAGTTGCCTTGTGTAAGATTTCTTGCGCAAGTGTTTCTTCTTCTTCATCACTGCATGACAAATATTTACCTACAACAATTTTTAACTCAAGAACAGGGTCAACACTTCGATCCGCTGTTTGTTGAAGAACACTTCTTACGCCATCTTGTCCACCAAGGGAGGCTATGATTTCTGGACCACCTCGAAACATCGAACCAATACTAAGTAAAAGGTCCATTCTTTGATTTGACTCACGACTGTTCATCGGCAGAGTTCTGCCTCCAGTGATAAAATTGTTAAGTAAACCAGCAACTGCGGCAGTTTGAGGCACATGTGCACCTGCTATTGCCTGTGTCGAATTTCCATCTTCCGCACCTCTAATAGAAATGTTTGATATTCCGTCGGATATTTGTTTTTGTCTATCTTCTTCAATGAATACTTCAAAAAGTTTATCGACTGCTTCTTTTATCGGAACATTTCCGTTTACATCTCGTGGACTTTCATTGAAACCTCTATGTATATCGATCAATGCATCTTCAAGATTGTCCAAATGTTTAATCCGTCCACCGTCCTCCTTTAGTTCAGATAGACACTGTACTTGATCTACGTCCAACAAAATCTCTACCCTCATACTACCATGATTGTCCTTGATAAATTCAAAGTCACCAATGCTATCTATTGGCTCGCAAAGTATTTGTCGAATACAGTCCTGTAGAACATCACATTCAAAATCATCTAGCTCTACAAACAAATTGCTGTTCACAAAATAATGAGGCAGTCGTTTTTGCTGAAGACACTGCATTATAAACTGCAGTACCTTCTTCACTGCTGTTATGACATTTTGTTTCCCCCATAAGAACGGATCCTCCCGTTCACAAACCCAAAAGAATGAAGTCTTCAGATAGTATGTTTTGAATTTCATTTCACTCTTGCCCAAGCCTGTATGCAGTTTCTGCAATCGTCCACTCAAATACGACTTCAGAATCAAGTAGACTTGACGTTGCGTTGTGGACAAACACTCCGCAAGTTTTAATTCTGCTAAATTGAAGGAATAGCAAAAATCTCTGCTATGGTCTGCTTTCAAAGGTGCATCTCTGGCAACTAAGTAGACATCAGTATTGAAGATTTTCTGTGCAACATCTCCAGGAGGCCAATTTGCCTTTTCTACTCTCTTTCTCCATTCAACAAGACAAGCCAATTTTCTGTCGCCTATGATTCTTAGAGCTGGAACAAAATCTCTCGTTGCCATGGCTGTATATGTAGCTTTGATCTTCTCATCCATAGTAGATACGTCTTCATAAATTTCTTTACTGTGATCACCAGATGGTACATTTATATTGTCAGGTCCTTGTTCCTGCTCCAGAGGTATTCTCTTCATTACCGAATCTAGATCGTCTGCAAATTTATTTATATTTCCGAAGTTTTCTCCTTTGCTTCCAGGCACCTTTCCTAACTTTATTACTTTTAATATTCTATGGGTTATTTTCATATCCTGTGCATTTAATTGAACGTTACGCCATCGTTCCTTCAGTTTCGAAACGACTCTCATATCCCTATCCACTTTAAGGCGCTTATTTGACCACTTTTTATTTAAAATGTCACCGTCAATTTCCAAATTTCGAAATTCTATGGCTCCAAGCCCTACCTTCATTGGTAGGCCAATTGTCGTTACTCTACTTATTGTTCCAGGCATTGTGTCCAGATTTGTGGTTACCTCTGAAAATATTGCTCTCAGAAAAGTGAAAAGTTCTGGTCGTAGTTCCCTCAGCATATCTGCTGAGAGATAACCATCAATCAACTCCCCGCAAATGTCTCGCCTGAGATTGTCTGCTCGTATCTTCACGTAACATCGCAAATCTGGCCGCTCCTCGATGTTTTCTATAGGGATTTCTAACCTTCCGGAACACATGATGAAATCCGCATCTCCATAATTTTGTGAGCGTTTTAACTTAAGCCCTTCCCCGGTACTTCCGACCAAATAAACTCTTTCTTTACAAAAACAGCTGAGAAATGCATTGATGTACTTAACATAACTCATATATCGTTTATCATTTGCTACAGGTTTTGCGTGTTCCTCAAGTCGTGCGATATAGGTTTGAAGCAGATGTGAAACTTGCGCCGCCATCTGAAAAATAAAGTTTTGTGATTACTATAATAATTATGTATTAACAGCATTTTTATGAAACGGCATGCAAGAAATTGATTGATGTAAACAATTTTGTTTTGGTTCTGATTCACTAAAATGACATGGACCTATATTGTTACGGGTATGCATGTATATTGTAGTTGTTCGGCCTATGCCATACGAAACGGCGGCATTTGAAGGCCATATCGCCTTCCGAAAATAGTCACCACGTTTTAAGTACGTTTATGCTCAATAAACATGTGAAGTCTTAACTAGAACAAAATTGTCTGAATGCGCTTCGTATCCCTACCAATATTCTTGATAGCAGTTGGCGTGGACAGGCAGAAAAAGGAATAACTTCTGTGTCATATCATTTACAAAAAAAATTTGTCTCTGGTTAAAAAGTCAATATTGTACACAAATAGTATTAAAATCTTGGTCGAAAGCATTAATAGCAAAATAACCTGAGATTTCCCGGCTCATTTAATTGAGTCTGTACAAACAGGGTAATGAAAAAGTGCAATACCTCTCATGACCCCTAGCTCCGGCAAGAGCGGTTATCAATTTTCAACACCTAAAAGTGCTGGATTCAATGATCATAAAGGACCAGAAAAATATAACAAAACATTTTGATTTAGAACAGATATCAATAACCTTTGATTAATAATAATAATAATAATAATAATAATAATAATAATAATAAAGTCTTTATTTAACGAGAGAACTCATTTGAACAAACATATCAATCTTCCATGAGGCCCTCAACAAGGAACAATATAAATTTAACATATTCAAACTATTAAAATACATAAATGTAAAAACATACAGGAGATTATCAATTTGTATACATCAATGCGTGATAAAACCTCAAGTATAAGGTTTTAAAATGGTTAACAGATGTAGCAGACTTAATATAATCAGGAAGGCCGTTCCAAATACATGTACAAGATCCAGAATAAACAAAAGACTTACGAAATTGTTCAGAATTTGGTCTAGGGGTATAAAGTTGAAAATCAGATGATGAACGCAAAATGCTAGTATGAACATCTGACGATAAAATGAAATTATTCAATAAATAGGAAGGCGCCTGATTATTCATTATAGCTTTTTTGAAAAACAACCCTCTGTGAAAAGGTCATCCAGCGGAGTTCAGAAAAAAACTCAGCAGATGGAGTGTCATAATCTTTGTCTTGTGCCCAGTCACTGAATTTTCTTAAAGCAAACAAAACAGTGAAATCAAAAAATGGCGTAACTTTTAAAAACTTGAATTCAGAGGTGTCAACCTGATTAGATTAGCTTACTTAAGCTGGTGCTAGATGGCGTGGAATCCCAACAGAAAACCCAACACGGCAAAATTGACAATGTTGCAGGCTCGGTTTGATTGAGTCTGAAGGTACTGGAATGTGCAAGTTACCGTCCACGTCCCTAGCACCGGCTTAAGCAGAATTCAACATTGAACACGAAAATAATGAAATTTTGAATTTAGAACCATCCACAGATGTGTTCATATGGCGGTTATCTTAAAACCTTCAATGCGACTCTCATGAAAAGCGGCATATGGTCCCAAAGTAAACCAATGTGTGTGCCCTAAACGAGAAAACAATGGGCGAAACTAAATAAAATAGAATTTTGAAAGGTCATCTGAGGTTATGAAGCCTGCATATCAGAGATGAGATGTCAAAAGACAAATTTAAAAAACAGGCAACATATCATAAGGATGAAAAATACAGTATTTAAGTAGGAATACTGGAACCACCTAAGATGAAAAATGCAAAATAGAAGAAACTAAAAATACCACATAACATGTATACACAACAAAAATGTCGTGCTGGACGATCTCCAAGGATCGAAAATATAACATCTTTGATTAAATGTACAGCGAGACTGACTATTATACTACTTTAAACTACTTTGATTTTAAAATGTCAATCCTAGGCGCTTGACCTTCCATTGCCAACATACACACGCTAGGTACTCAACAATACAACAGAACCATAAGAAAGATTTTTTTCACGGTTAAATTTATTAAAATTATAACTCAGTGCTGATATAATTATCTTGTCCTTCGGGATCATTGATTCCAATACATGTTGTGTTAAGAATTGAATTCCACTTTTAAAGCCGGTGCTAGGGGACATACGAAACGTTGAACAATTCAACAGGGAACAGATTCAATAAAGCTGAGTCTGCAATCTTCAACTATTTGTTGATATTTGTGATATATAAATAATTATAAAAGAAAGAAAAAAGAAAGAAAAAAGTTGGTCTTTCAGAGGTTTGAACCCACGGTCCTAAGTTTGAATGCAGTTAACAATAATTCTAGCCTATTTGAATACTCTTCAAAGCGATGGTAATGCATTAGGATGGTATCTAGTTTCATTGTATTACGCCGCTTTTGAACTGAATGACAGGTAAACTATCTATATATTAACACAATTTACACGGGCCTGTTGTAAGAAATATTTCATAGTACCCAAGAAATTACAATGTCTGTCATTTAAGACACGAATAAAACAACGATATTAAAAGAAAACACGGCATAATCTGAGGTATCGATATGAATTAACATTTTTTATTAACGTTCAGTATTTTGGACATGTAAGTGATATTTGTCAGCTTATTTTATTTTAGGAACACATAAACGGTGATAAAATAGTAACTTTTTAAGCACATATGATTTTCTGCACATGAATATGGCCTAGACAAATCCACTATTCTGCACATGAATATGACCTAGATGAATCCACTCTTCTGCACATGAATATGACCTAGATGAATCTACTCTTCTGCACATGAATATGGCCTAGATGAATCCACTCTTTTGCACATAAATACTGTCAAGATGAATCCACCCTTTTTTACATGATTATGAATTTAGATGAATCCACCCTTCTACACATGAGTATGGTCTAGATGAATCCACCCGCCTGCACATGAATATGATCGAGATGAATCCACCCGTCTGCACATGAATATGACCGAGATGAATCCACCAATAAAAAACTTTCAGATTGTCGTACAGTATTCAATCCATTACATTTAGGACTGTGTTTATCCTTAACGGATCCATATTATAGGTCTATACTACATACTTGCCATCAAATAACACATTACTCACAACAGACGTATTCTTAACATTGTAAGAAAATTTAACTTTAAACTTATTTAAAAAAACAAACAATGTAACAAACCTTTAATCTATCCAAAGTGCTGTCTGTCATACATGATTTTATATGTTTTATGTGCCATTGGAATTAAACTGTTATATGAGTCTGTGGACATAGATTATATACTTTATATAATAAAGTTTTATGTTAATAAGTTTTATTTATGAATCATCCGTACTTTAATCTTTGTATCATATATACTTCCTGCCTTCACAATGTCACTTTGTATACATGGTAAGATACGGAGTAAGGTTAATGTACATCCTCGAGATTAGAGAACGCTGCTGTAGGCCAAAATGATAATTCATAGTATGTACATGTTGTATACCAGTTTGTTTAGAAATTCTGTATACATATTATGTTATCTTTTTGGTTTTTACTTTAGATATTTCAATACAATCGTTTATTAATTTTGCTCATATATGTCTTTTATGTAATAGTAGTTTTATGTTCCGCTAGAAAAAACAACACAAATAGGCTTGATGGTGTGTGTATCTGGGGGTGTTACTTAACAACATACTGTTTTTGTTAATACTGTTGTTGAACATTTTCTATCACTACATAAGTACTTACATGTACATTATGCCTGTTCATACATGATATGACAGACCTGCTTATTATAATGAAATTATAAGTGATTATGTAAATATATACTCTTGCTCTGATTATACATGTATGTATTTATATACATGTATGTATTTATAATACCTTGTCGTTAGAAACAAAACTTAAATGATCCAATTTTATTTTGATATACTCTTGGTCATATTTATAACAAAATTTTCTGTCTCATGCATGTAAAACAAACTTGCTACTATCTTATTATCATATCAAATGCATCCTAAGGCATTGGTCATTAACATATTTTTTTATTATTTCGACATGACTGTTTGGTATCTTAAAGAATATGAGTGTCAATGACTTATAGCAAAAGTAATTTTGTGCCGTTGGTAATATGCATCGTCCATTTCTTGTCTTTTTTTCGTTTTCGGACAAGACTGGTTTTCTTTATGAATAAACTTGGAAACTTTACATAACACTATATATACATATGCTTGCAATATTGTAATATTCACTGTATTTTTTTTGTATAATATCTCTTGTTGATAAGCTAATTTATTAGTGTTAAGAAATTATTGTACATGTTGTATTTTTGTATATATTGTATGTTCTGCTCTTCATAATTGGAGGAAATAAAAGAATGTAGTCTAAAAATAGAAACATAATACTGATAATACTCAACAAAATGAAGAGAAAAAAACACACTAAGTCACACACATTATTATCATAAAATGTAAAAACGTTGTGCCCAAAATGATCTGACACATACATATGAATCAACATCTTTAAAAAATATTTAAAATATTTAAAAAAAAAACAAGTATCTTTAAAGAAAGATACTCGGCCGAAGTAAAACTGGTTAGTTCTTAGTTTAGATGAAGTATTGTATCTGAAAAGTTTACACCACTGAATTATAGTAAAAGTTGGCACACGCCGGTATATAACCAAAATAGACAAGTGTTATAAAAATAAGTTTACAAATTAATAAGAAGCCAAAACGTAAATTGGATATTTCAATAAACATACGCCTGTATTGATTTGTGTGATGCAAAAATAAAATAAGAAAAAATAAAAAAAGTATCCCGTCTGAGACCCGAACACAAGGCCATCATTCTACTTCAATACCACTAGGTGATCTGAATAAAGTAATACAAAATATCTGTATTGTTTTGAATTTGGAATAATCGCATTTATCATATATGTCAACATCATTGGTGAGTTTTCAGCTTTGTGTCTGGCGATCGTGCATTTATTTCCTTTTAACTCTTCGTTGTTGCTTGTTGTTGTTGTTGTTGTTTTACCTGAATATGAAAGGCTCAGGTGAACGCGCTTTCGCTTATTCGAATAGGATTACTTGATAAAGGCAAAGAAGAATTTTTTTAAATAGATCATATAACTGTCTTTAACTTTGCACTTTTAGAGATAATCGTATTTGAAACAAAAACACAAAAACAGTTGAGGAGCCACCATCCTTCGTTTTTAATTTCTGCCCCTGAAATCGAGTTTTTTTCTACTCTTTTTAGGTCATTTTCAAAATGAAAATAACCCGAAAATGCGACAATCAACGCTTTATTTGATTCAATATTTGATTTTGTTCCTTTATTCCTCATCATGGTGCAAACTTTGCTGAAATATTCATCATATTATATTTTAAAGTTGTTTATGCGAAATGATTGAAAATTTCTCCGAGTTATGTCCCTTTCTGAAGATTTACTCATTGAAAGAAGCATAAAAAATATCTTTTGGAGTGAATGTGAATTGTTTTATACTTCGTATAATTGAAAAAAAGGTAACAATAAATTTTCAAATGTCTTTCAAATTAAAAGGGGAATCTAAACTACGTGCATTGGAGATTTGTTGTTGTTGTTTTTGTGTTGTTGTTGTTTTTTTGTTTTTTTGTGTTTTGTTTTGCGAATAAAAAACAACCAAAACTAGTTGTTGATTGAATTTCTAAAATTACTGTGTAAATATATTCTTGAAAATAAAAATGACGTCATATGCTTATTTGCTTTATCTAACTTGCCATTCGTAATCATATGCTAATACTAAAATATGCGTGGGGGCGTGGGTAGCGGGGGCAGTGAGAATAAGAGATGCTGCATTATTTGTTGTCTCTCTGTGAAAAAAAACAACAACAAATCAAGCCGAAACTGCGATTGTCTCTAATCAAGTTTTTTTTTCGATGAACTCTGGGGATTTCCTTTTTTAATTTTTTTTCTTCTACCAACAATACTGAAGAAATGTCTTAAAACAAATTCAAGGTCCATTGTGAAAACTAATTCAAGGTCCATTGTGAATACTTTAATTAATCTGTTATTTCTCATATTGGTGTGATGGTGTCATACAACATAGATGATATTGAATGAGTGTAGGTTCAATACTAAATTTATTGAACAAATTGAATAAAATCATATGCGAGCCTCTGGCGAGCATAATATTGTTTTATTCAACGAGTTCAATAAATTTAGAATTGAATCTACACGAATATAATATTCTATTTATCACATATATAAAATAAGAACGGTAAACTGTTATCAAGAGTTATTTTTCTTTGACGCGCCTATAGTGTAACGCTAAAATTGGCGCGCTTTATAGCGCAAATGACGTGACGTCAAAGTGTTATTACACTAGTGTAATATCGTCTAGTGTAATACCGTTTTTATTAAATGGCTTTATTACACTCCTGCGCCTCGGTTTATGTGATAAAGTCACTTATAGAAGGCTTTCATACAATATTTTCAGCAAAAGGTAATATTCAATGGGTGCATGTATTAATTTGTGTTGTCTTAGTCTATCCTAGCACTACAGCAATACATATGTGTGTACAAAATAATCATAAAATATGTATGATCATGGTTACACACAATATGGTTATTAATTAAACCCTGAATATACATTTTATTGAGAATATGTACCACGCATACATAAATTTGTAAAATTAGATTACAAAAAAGGGAAGTAATAGTAATACAAATACTATAAATGAAATCTTTTATTAAGCCTTAGGTACATATATTAGAAGTTTCAGTTGATTCATACATGCTGTCTATAATAATCGGTACATCAGATTATCTTACATGTCCAAATATATCTTCATACAGCAAAAATAAAATAAAGATATATATCTTAAACGATATATAACGAAAAGTTTGTGCAATGAAAATATTTTTCGCATCAACAATGTAATGTTCCAAAAGTTCTCATTCTTGTCTTCCAAGGAAGTAACCAGCAACTTTCTGTGCAAGTTCTTTCGCAAGTGTTTCTTCTTCTTCATCACTGCATGACAAATATTTGCCTGCAACTCTTTTCAACTCAAGAACAGGGTCAACACTTTGATCCGCTGTTTGTTGAAGAACGTTTCTTACACCATCTTGTCCACCAAGAGAGGCTATGATTTCTGGACCACCTCGAAACATCGAACCAATACCAAGTAATAGGTCCATTCTTGGATTCGACTCACGACTGTTAATCGGCTGGGTTTCAGTCACAAAGTTGTTAAGTATACCAGCAATCGCGGCAGTCTGAGACACGTTCACGCCTGGTATAGCCTGGGTCAAATTTCTACCTCCTGTTCCTCCAAGCGAAATTTGTGATGTCCCGTCGGATATTTGTTTTTGCCTCTCTTCTTCTATAAATACATCAAAAACCTTATCGACTGCTTCTTTTATCGGTATTTTCCCGTTTACATCTCTTGGACTTTCATTAAAACCTCTTTGCATATCGATCAGCGCATCTTCAAGTGTGTCCAAATGTTTCAACCTTCCACCATCCTCCTTCAGTTCAGAAAGACATTGTACTTGATCTACGTCCAACAAAATTTCCCCCCTGCTACTGTCATTTTTCTTGACAAATTCAAAGTCACCAATGCTGTCTATTGCCTCACATAGTATTTGTTGGATACAGTCCTGTAGAACATCACATTCAAAATCCTCTAGGTCTGCGAACAAGTTGCTGTTTACAAAATAATGGGAAAGCTTTTTTTCCTGGAGACACTGCATTATAAAATGGAGTACCTTCTTCACTGCTGTGATGATATTTTGTTCTCTCCATATGGATGGATCCTCCCGTTCACAAACCCAAAAGAAGATGGTCTTCAGATAGTATGTTTTGAATTTCATTTCGTTTATACCCAGGCCCTCATGCAGTTTCTGCAAACGCCCGCTCAAATACGACTTCAGAATAAAGTAGACTCGACGTTGCGTTTGGGACAAGCACTCCGCAAGTTTCAATTCTGCTAAATTGAAGGAATAGCAAAAATCTCTGCCATGGTCTGCTTTCAAAGGTGCATCTCTGGCAACTAAGTAGACATCAGTATTGAAGATTTTTTGTGCAACATCTCCAGGAGGCCAATTTGCTTTTTCTACTCTCTTTCTCCATTCAACAAGACAAGCCAATTTTGTATCGCCTTTGATTCTTAGAGCTGGAACAAAATCTTTCGTTGACATGTCAGAGTAAGTAGCTTTTATCTTTTCAGGATTTGGGGCTACATCGGTTTCTTCTTCAGCTTCATCACTGGTTGACTCATTTATACATCCAGGAGTTGGTTCCTGTTCCAGAGGTATTCTCTTCATTACGGAATCTAAATCGTCCGCAAATTTGTTTATTTGTCCGAACTTTTCCCCTTTGCTACCTGGCACCTTTGCGAATCTAAATATCTTCAAAATTCTTTGAAATATTTTCATATCACCTTCATGTATTTGTACGTTACGCCATCGTTCTTTTAATTTAGTAGCAACTTTAGTGTCCCTATCAACTTTAAGGCGTTTATTTGATCTCTTCGTCTGTAAAATGTCGCCCTCAATTACTAAATTTCGAAATTCTGTTCTCCCAAGCCCTACCTTCATTGGCACTCCAACCGTAGTGACTCTACTTTCCCTACCAGGAATGGTGTCAAGATTTGTGGTTACCTCTGAAAATATTGCTCTCAGAAAAGTGAAAAGTTCTGGTCGTAGTTCCCTCAGCATATCTGCTGAGAGATAACCATCAATCAACTCTCCGCAAATGTCTCGCCTGAGATTGTCTGCTCGTATCTTCACGTAACATCGTAAATCTGGCCGTTCCTCGATGTTTTCTATAGGGATTTCTAATCTTCCGGAACACATGAGAAAATCTGCGTCTCCATCATTTTTGGAGCGTCTTAGTTTGAGTCCTTCCCCGGTACTTCCGACCAAATAAACTCTTTCTTTACAAAAACAGCTGAGAAATGCATTGATATACTTAACATAACTCATATATCGTTTATCATTTGCTACAGGTTTTGCGTGTTCCTCAAGTCGTGCGATATAGGTTTGAAGCAGATGTGAATATTGCGTCGACATCTGAAAAACCAATACATTATATATAAACATATAATATATTAATATATTTTACGGGTTATTAATAATACTTAGTAGTGAAATTTTAACGCATCACTGCTTAATTGTTGTCAAAATTATTTGCAAGCATTTTTGAACAGAACAAAGTCGAATTAACGAAACAAAATTATCATTATATGACCAATGTAGCGCACTTAAATAATAATTATTAATCTACCGAACAAAATTTGATTATCAGTCAAATAAGAAAAAATCATACATGGCTGCCTGCCGTAAAATATCGGAACTAAAAACGAAACTACGCAAATGTTCTTTAATTAGAGCAAATGTATTGAATTTCTCAACCGTTCAAATGCCAATTAAACTATAATTTATTTTAATATGGAAAACAAATAAGTTAACAAACCTTTCGTTAGGCCAAACATACGTCTGTCTGCTAGCCCATCAAACAAACAGACATTGGTTTTCCAATGCGTCATACAATATTGCAGAAATTTCAATATTCTTAACGCTCTGTTGCAAATCAACAAGCTGTGTACGCCATGTCTAAAAATATACTATGCCGACGTAGCATAATAAGTAAGAACTTATGCATCCATAACGTTAGCTGTGATCCATTTATTAGTATATATCACATTTACACAATGACAAGGGGATTTAAAACGCACGGTAAGATTTTAGTTATACGTAAAAGTGTTTGTGCACACATTTTGAAGTCTAATATATTGATTTTTTTTATCACTTTAACCTATGAATTGCGATATATTGATTTACAAATATCATTATTTTACTTGTACATTAACAATACAATAAAGGCTTGAATTATTGATTTTAAATACGTATTGGTATTCTTGTGGTTTACACTATAAATGGCTTTATTATTATCGTGACGGACATACAATTAGAAATAATATAATCTACAAGATTTCTATTTTGACTTTGTAAATGATAGTCATATTTTTACGTGTCATTTAAATGAATATCATGACAATCATATTAAACCATCATCAACCTTAATTCTTATTCAAGTGTTATCCTCTGGTCAAGATTAATAGTCATAATATTGCCGGTTGACCTTTTGACCAAAGATTTCAACAACAATAAATGAGCCGCGTCATGACAAAACCAACATAGTGCGTTTGCGACCAGACCAGCGCAGTCTGATCAGGATCCATGCTGTTCGCTATCAGTTTCTCTACTTGTAATCGGGTTGGTAAGCGAACAGCATGGATTCTGATCAGACTGCGCGGATGCGCAGGCTGGTCTGGATCCATGCTGGTCGCAAACGCACTATGTTGGTTTTGTCGTGACGCGGCTCAAATACTGATAAAGATTTTTCTGTTCAGTTGAATATTGCGAAATATTGACCGTTTGTCTAAATCTCAGCAATTTTATACAGCTGTCTTTCCAGCTCGATTTTTTGAACATAATTGTATTTTATATCGGAAATAGAGCTATATGTGCCTGAAAATAAAATTAAAATGTTGGAAGCTAATTTCTGTCGCCTTCAGTTTTAAAATTGTTTGATTGAATTTTGAAACGAATTATATTAATAATTCTCAAATGCCTGTATCAAAGAAACCGCTTTCCTTTTATTTTGTTTAGGTGTAATATTTGTGAATGTTTAAACACCATACATTCAACGTTACAGTTCTTCCGAGGATCGACCTTTCGATCATAAAAATTATGAGTATGAAATCAACCTAATGTTACCATTTACAAATTTTTCAAAACTATTTCATCAGATAAAACTTTATACCATCTTTAAGCACCAAAAATGATATCAGTTTTAATTATTTCTAAACAAAAAGTACTCATATTTTCCGGTGTTTCGTTATAATTTCTTACACGGTACACATTTTTCATTTCACTGAATCATATTTTGCCTTCTGGCAACTAGTAATGTAACGTTGATTTAACATTTTAAATAGAAGATTTAGTATGACAAATTATTTCATATTCAACCTTTATCTCTTCTCGTAATATGCATCTGAAGTGCTCATAATCCATAGTTTTGATATTATAAAATTTAGGTTTTCCTTTCCGTAATATTCATGATCATTTTATTAGAATTGCGCTTTCTATTATTTGCTAAAACATATGACCTCTATGAAAGGTTCTATATTTAAAGAATATTGCAGACTTGGTATTTTTGGCCCGTGCACATAAAGAGTAATTAAATTACATACTACGAAAGACTGGTGGGGACATTTCAACTTTCCGATTTCATCTTCGTAAATACACAATTTTAACTTCGTGAATTCACGTTTCAACATACAGAATTCACGAATTCACGATTTCAGCTTCATGAATTCACGATTTCACCTTCACGAATTCACGATTTCAAGTTCATGAATTCACGATTTCAACTTGACGAATTCACGATTTCAACTTCACGAATTTAACTTCGTGAATTCACAATTTCAACGTCACGAATTCACTATTTCAACTTCACTAATTCACAATACATGAAGTTAAAGTCGTAAGTTCGTGAAGTTGAAATCGTGAATTTATGAAATGTCCCACCGGTCTTTCGTAACATACTGTTTTCGTGAATATCTTCGTACGTTATTAAGAAAAGAGCTTTACGGTTTTATACTTTTTACTCTATTTTACTTTAGTTAGAAAGAATGTTAAGGTCCATTATGAACCAGAATTGTTTTTTATACCCCCGCACAACGAAGTTGTAAGGGGGTATACTGGAATCAGCTTGTCCGTCCGGACGTCTCCCCGTCCGGCCGTCCGTCGGTTTTTCCTTGTCCGCCAATAACTTAAAATTCCTTTGACCCACAGTCTTCATATTTGGCATAAAGGTAAGTCATGACTAGTAGATGACCCCTATTGATTTTGAGATTACTGGGTCAAAGTTCAGGGTCACAGGGGCCTTGACTAAAAAAAGCTTGTCCGCCCAATAACTTAAGATTCCTTTGACTTACAGTCTTCATATTTGGCATGGAGATTAGTCATGATTAGTAGATGACCCCTATCGATTTTGAGGTCGCTGGGTCAAAGGTCAAGGTCACAGGGGCCTTGACTAAAAAAAGCTTGTCCGCCCAATAACTTAAGTTCCTTTGACCTACAGTCTTCATATTTGGCATGGAGATTAGTCATGACTAGTAGATGACTCCTATTGATTTTGAGGTCATTGGGTCAATTGACCCACTTTCTTCATATTTGGTGCTGAGGTCGTTTATGACTAGTAGATGGCGCCTATTGATTTTTAGCTGACTGTGTCAAAGGTCAAGGTCACAGGGATTTTACTATAATCAGTTTGTCTGCTCAAACGCTTAAGAATGCCTGTTCGCAGTGTATTGATTTTGACATTTTGACATTTGAAGCATGTAGAATACATAATTTAGCAATGCACTGGCTTAGTAACCTCAGATTTGGCAGGGAGGTTGTCCTTGAGCTCTAAATGGCCACTGTTGATTCTGACAAAGTGGTATGCGGGGGTATTCACGCCATGACAGTGGCAGTTCTAGTTATTCTTATAATCGAAAGTTTTGTATTTGTTATGTATCTTTATTAGTTATTCATTGTCCAATTATGTAAGCCATCTTTTTATTCTGTTGTTTTTTGACAATATATACAGATGTAGTGATTTAGTATTTTGTAAGAAAGACAAAATTCTACTTTGTTTAAATTTTGCTACTTTGATAACAAATTCTTTAACATTTAGAGCTCCTTTCTTCAGGTAACAAGCGTCTGACATACCCGTAAACCATTCTCCGAACTTTATAAATTTCTTGTTTATGCTTCCTAATTAAGTAAAAACTTATTCGTTTCTGAGGTATAGTGTGCCTTTAAAGATTTTATAATACGTTACATGCGTTATGTAAAGTTTAGCAAGCGATCACCCTTCTAATTCTGTCATTTTCCAAAGAATTATGTCCAGGAAAGATATGCGTGACTGTGATAAAGCGTCAAATTCTTCTCTTGTTTTTATAAACGTACTTTCCGATGCTGTCATTGTACTTAAGAATGTCCTTTAGATAATCAATATCACTTATGAATGTCAGTTTCTAATTGATCAATATTAGGTTTGCATGTATCCTTGCAGTGCAATCGATATTCACTTATAACGTGTATTATAAAGTAATTTACATCCATAAATCACAACTGTATTTTGTAATATGTATCTTTTCGTGTTCATAAATTTGACTATAAAAAAGAAATACCTATGTACAGATTACAATAAAAAAGTAAAGGAGCCTCGTATATATGTGTCTTCAAAATTTATTATTTAAGAAATAATATCGGTCTTAGCGGTGTTTATCGGCTATTTAACACCGGTTTGGAGTTTTGATGCGTATGAATTGACCACGAAGGTCGTAGATACTAATACGATAAAATAAGGAAGATCACTAATTTAATTTTTCAAGCGGAAATAACTTCCGGTGCCGATTTTCGTATTTTCGCACCATACTGTTGCGTTTTGTCAAAATAGTTATTAACTGATATGGATTAAACATGTGGCGTTAGTGTATGTGAGATATTATTTCGGCATTGTATGAAAAGAAAACATTATAAGAACTGAAAATATAAATAAAAATGAAAAACAAATGTTTTTTATTGTTGATTTAAAAGGCTTTGTAAACATACAAGTAGTCCCTAACCAATGTTTATTTATATAAGGATAATAATGTAGGAATGTTTACATATGTTTCTCAAATTGGTGCTTCTGTTATAGATTATATTTTAACCAATGAGAAACATTTCTCAAATAGTCATTTTTGTGTCCAGCAAGTTAACAAGTTTAGCGACCACGCGCCTATAGAATTTTAATGATATACTAAATACCATATACCTGCACAACAGGAGAAAGTTGACATAAATTATAAATGGGATTCGAACATAAGGGATACTTTAGGGCGGATTTGATCGGCATATTGCCTGATCTTAATCAATTGACTACAGAAATAAATACCAGTGATCGACCGTAAACAACACTATAAATAATTTTACTTGTTTAATTAGGGAAGTTGCAGACCCTCTTTTTTCAAGAACATATACAAATAAAACGCATGTTAATTTTTCAGACAGTCAATCTTTAAAGGACGCTGACTGGTTTGACGCCGAATGCAGAAATTCAAAGAATATATATGTAGATGCCTTAAACTAATTTTATATATGTAAAACTCCAGTAAGTAGGGAATATTTGTGCCAATGTAAGAAAGAATATAAAAATTTAATCCGAAAGAAAAAGAAAACTTTTATATCCCAAAAATATTCTGAAATTGAACGCTTAAGATTTTGTAAACCCAAACAGTTTTGGCGACATTTTAAAAAGAAAAAAGGCTAATGTTTCTAAAGACATTACTCTTGAGGAGGTTTAATTGTTTTTTGAAAATTTATCTAATAATAAATTCAGTTCTAACAATAATGAATGTAATGAATTTTGTAACGAACACGATTTTAATTGTGATGATTGTACCTATGAAGAATTGAATTTGCCTATCACATGTGAACAAATTAAGAAAGCTGTAAAAACACTTATGTCGAATAAAGCGGTGGGCTCAGACTGCCTTTTAAACGAATATTTTATTGAGTCTATTGATATTATTTGTTATCATTTGTGTGATATGTTTAATGTTTATGTTTTTATCCAGACAAATGGACGGAGGATATAATTTTGCCCGTATATAAAAAAGCGATCCGAAATTAGTTAATAATTATAGGGGAATAACTTCAGTCAGCTGTATGTCTAAGCTTTTTACTTCCATACTAACTAACAGAGTTGAAATATTTTGTGATAAATGTTCTGTTATTTCTGATTTAGAAAGGAGAGATCAACTGTTGATGCAATGTTTATTCGACATTCTGTAATACAACATTATTTAAATGATAATAAACGTTTATATGTAGGGTTTATTGATTTGAAATCTTGTTTTGATAGCATTTGCAGAAATTCATTATGGATGAAATTGTATAAATGTGGTGTACAAGAAAAATATTACGAATCATTAAAAATATTTATGACAAAATAAAATCATGTGTAAGATGTTGTAACACCTATTCAGATTTTTCCAGTATGCTGTAGGCCTACGTCAAGGGGAGGTAACTTCGCCATTGATGTTCACCCTATGAAGTATATTTACAAGATAACTTAAACGATTGATGATATTGTTTTGATTTTATTGCTTTTTGCTGACGATATGGCCATTGTAGGTAAAACTAAATAACGCTTGATACAAAATAGTTTAGATCGTTTGTAAACATATTGCTTTAAATGGGAACTAGAGGTTAATACCATGAAAACTAAAATTGTTGTCTTTACAAAAAGAGGGCGTATTTTATCAACGAAAAATGGACTTATAACGGTCAGACAATAAAAGTAGTAGACCACTTTAACTACCAGGTACAGTGTTCAGCTATACAGGCAATTTGTCTCTTAATAATGAACATTTAACTGGTAAGGCTTTAAAAACAATGAACACATTATTGATAAATTGTAAAGACATGGATTTAAAACCCAAATTATTATGCCAATTATTGGATTCTTTTGTAGGCTCAATCATATCATATGCATCTGAAGTATGGGGTTATAGCAAATCAAAAGATATTGAGCGTATTCACTTGAAATATTGTAAAAGAATTTTAAATGTTAGAGCCAATACAACTATTGTATATAAATCGATACGTAAGAATGATTAAGGTTTGGTGCAAATTGATAAATACTGACAATATAGAAGAAGAAATAGTTTATTTCGGTAACTTATACATATTTAAGATATCTCGTTACATACAATAATTACAAATATAATAATTGTGTGGTCACATGACAAAAGCAAAGAAAAACAATAATAAGAAGAACATAAAAAGTTTTAACTGATGACATTCTAGAAAATTTGTTTCAAACGGAGAACAGACAGCTGCAAATAAAGGTACACCACAACATCATTATCATTCATAGAAATAAAAAGTTCCAGTAAGAAAGAACACCAAAAATAAAAAAAGACGTGAAAAATAACAGCGTCAAAAGTATAGTATTACATGTATCTTTTTAAAGATAATAAGGATAATAAATTGATCAACATTTGATTAACATTACAAAATGTGTTATGAATTAACAACTGGTAGTAACAATTCTTGTCTCTTTTTATTGGCTACATCTATATATTTTCCTAAATTTACAAGTATAGCTTTATTATCTGATTGTAGTGAATCTACAAATTTATACATAGAAGGTTTAATATAGTAATAACGCTTGATAAATCTTCTTCGAATATTTTGATAACATGGACAAACTAAAATAAAATGATATTCATTTTCAATTTCTGGTAAGTTACATAATTGACATTATCTTTCATTTCTTTGTATTTTATTACGTCTGTATTCTTCCAGTTTCAATCCTTAAGTTATGAGCAGATATTCTAATTCTACAAATATTCATACATATACCTTTGCAATAAATATTTCTGAAATAAGGTTCCAAACAAAAGTCTTTTTTGATATAACTATACAAAGTGTTTAGTACGATATTGTTTTCTTTGTCTGAATGCCATTTTTGCCCACAACAATCAATAACTCTTTGTTTAAATTAAGATAAAAAGAAACTTCATTTGATATTTAATGGGTTGTCCCACACATAAGAAAAGCCATATTCATTTAATATGGGATTTTACATTTTGAGCACCAGTCAAAATATTGCCTACTGTATTTCAGTATAATATTATCCTTATTTACAAGCTTAAGCCAAAATTGAATGATTTGTACGTATCAGTTGATATGTAAGGGGTATCTACCTAATTCGCCATACACTGCATTATTACTAGCACATTGTGTTACTCCTAATATTGATTTGCAAAACTTAAGGTGTACCCTTTCAATAGCTTTAGATTTAGTAAAACCCCAAACCGGACAGGCATAATTAAGTATTGAGCCAACAAAGGCATCAAATAATTGTAATGAAACATGAGGATTTAAATTAAATTTGTTTATCTTATTCAATAAAATGCTCATAGCTTTTAAACCTTTCCCTACTAAGCACTGTGTATTTAAAACAAACGAACTGTATAGTTAATAACAACCCCTAGATAATTAAAATCGTTAACAACTGCAATATGTTTCCCATTATAATACCATTTTTCACTTAATTTGACCTGTCCCCTTTTACGGAAAACAACAATTTTGGTTTTGTCCGTATTGACCTCAAGTCCCCATTTATTGCAATAATCATACAAGGTATTTAGCGATTTTTGTAAGTCTTCTTGTGATCTGCCAATTTTACGGAAAACATATGAAATAAGTTTATCGGATTGTTATAAAGGTAAAAAAAACTGGGTATCAAATATTAAAGAAATGCTAGATATATATATGGTTTATCCTAATACTTTTTTGAAAATAATATCGTAGATAGTAAATTATTTCCAAAAATATTTAAACAAAGAGTTATTGATAATTATATAAAATATGGCATTCATCTGTAGAAAATAATTCTGTTTTAGAACTTTATAAAAATTGTAAAGAATTATATTCATACGAAAACTATCTTAACATATTACCTTAGGATTTTAGATTTTATATCACAAGAATTAGAATGTCTGCACATACACTAAGACTGCAAACGGGTAGATATAATCAAAATAGAATCCCAAGGAGTGAAAGATATTGTTTATGTTCTAATACTTTAGATTTAGAGGATGAGTACCATTTTGTTTTGACATGCCCTTGCTATGTTAAACTCAGGAACACTATCGTTAGTACTAACAACTGAATTTTGATATCTTGTTACAAATTTATACTAAAAATTCAACTGATTTGTTGTAGCAAATATGTTTATACTCTGCTTAACAAATTGTTTTATAAGTGATAATAATATTCTCTTAATCCAATAATGTTCATTCTCCAGCTTTTCATGAAATTCAATACTATATATTTAATCCTATATTATTTGTTAAATAGAAACGTTATATCTTTACAATTTGTGTATTTATTTTGTAGTGATGATGTAACATGTACAAATCCAAAATAAAATTATTTTCTGTTCTGTTTATTGGCAGTTTAACTTCGGGTTTTTTCCTTCTTTGTCTATAGTGAGAATATTTTATATCGCTTAAGTTTCATATTTCTGACAGAGATCAAATTTTCACCTACGATACAAACTTTAAACATTCAAGCATAACATTTAAACCATTTCAAAAACAATAGGAATTTAATGTGTATATAAGTGTAAAAAGTCTCTGCTGCCCATCCATTGAAATTGTCTCTAAAATAATGAATATACTGCTGGAATGCGGAATACATACATTCATTTATATTCATCTTCCAGAAATATAAAATGCCAATGGAGGTCACAGATGAAGATTTGTTTGAAGCGTTTATAGCAGAACTGGAAGAACGTACTAAGCCAAGTAAGAATGATAAAAGATATGAAAGATATGTTAACTATATCAATTGCTTCATTAGTAAGTTCGGAAGAGAAAGAGTGTATCTTGTAGGAAGTACGAGTGAGCGATCAAAACTTGCTTTTTCAAAAGACGATGGTGATGCTGACTTCTTAATGGTTTCTGGAAAGATGGAAATTCCGGCTGAAAACTTGGTCTCATATCATGAAGCCCCATGCTTTGTTTGGATTCGTGCAGACTCATGTAGCAGAGATATTGGCCTCGAAGTTGTTGAGGATGAATACATCTCGGCTAACACTCTGCGAGAAGTACGACCAGAGTTATTTACCATGTTAAGAGCGATTTATTTGCATGTCACTGCTACTGTGAACAAATTACCAGAAACAGATACGGAAAGGACTATTCTATCTGTTTCCTCAAAGGTTGGCTTACAAACAACGACATATAGGTCATTAAAGTTTGAAGAAAATATTGAAGATTTAAAAGAGTATTTTATAAATAACGAAAAAATTGAAAGAGAAAATGAAAAAGAAAAACTGCTGGAAGATAGATGGAAACAACTAAAAGTTAATGAATGTGAGAAAAAGATTTATAGACGGTTGTATGAAGCATCAAAACTTGCCATACCTTCTGACAGAAAGAAAAATAACGGAGGAATAGCTTTCTTTGTGCAACTCGTTGAAGAAATCTTAGCAAGACAAAGTGGTGCATTACCCAAAACACCTTCCGATGAAATGAACAATTTCCGGACAAATCATGACAATAACACTGATCATAATAGCTCGAACGTGGTAGATATAGCTAGTAATAAGGACAAATTGTTTAGAGCAACATACGAAGAAAGAAGTCACAAAGATTTTGTTCCAGCTTTAGTTATTACAGGAGAGTTGGAGGATATGAGACTATGGAAAAAACGAGTTCTTGACAATGGCTGGGACGAGGAGAGGGTAAATGATATTTGTGATACAGAAATATTTGTCGTATCAAGAGTCTGTCCAAAAAGTTCAAATCCTGAAAAAGATTTTTGCTTGTCGTTTAATCTTGCCGAGCGAAAGTTAATGATAGCAATGTCATATGTGGAAAGAAGAGTGTATTTGATACTTAAGGCATTTTTAAAAGGTGTTTTTGGGGGCGCAAGCCCCCAATGTAATTACGATAAATTCAGCTTACTACCCTTTGAACGCGTTTAGGCTATCTAGCTGCGCTGAGCAAAAATAGTTCCAATATTTTGCCATAATATTCAGATCATCATTATACCGTATCTATTTTGAAATTGACTGGTCATTTTATTACTAAATGTTAAATCCTTTTATCACAAAATTACATATACCATTGCTTTACGCGATTTGAATATTACTACGCTAGCAGTCGATAAAAATTTAATGAGAAGTTAATTTGTTCTACCTTCTGGTTCCCGATGCACGAGAGCCAAAGTACTTGCATACATTTGGTGCCAATTTTATCAAGTCATAAATTAACTAACTATCATAGAACACAATAATTCAGGAAAAATGGAATACGATTTTCATATTAGATAACTTTCAAGCTTAAAATGGTTAAAAAGTGTGAATGACAGAGTAAAAATGTGTATGCGTATGAATACGAACTATATTCCCTCTGACGTCATTTTCCCGAAATCGCCATCTTGGTCAGTTATTCCGAGAAAGGGCTGAGAAGATTTGCTATCAATTACGAAGTCCCAGCTATTACGTTGATATTTTGGTTGCAATCTATTCCGTATGTATAATCAAGTTTTCTTCACAATCTGGTAAAGCTATTGATATATTTCGCTTGATAGACTGCAAATTTAAGTGCATTACAAACTCGGCCCTAAAACGTACTCGGCCCCGAGTCAGCTCGGCCTTTTTTCAACTCGGTCCACTTTTCAATTTATCAACATATTGGTTTGTTTTATCACTCTTTATTGTTGAAACCACATAATTAATATCTGGACTTATTCAGAAACATGGAAAGATATTTTCTTAAATTATTATTACATTTTTGACTACTTTTTGAACACATCTCTATAACTCAATTTACTGTATTACTATTAGCTATCTAAGCTAAACAAAATAGGCCCAAAACTTGTCATGGTATACAGGTAAAATGTTATAATTGGTGAAAAATGATAGTTTTCAATTTTGTGATCATGATTTTTGCAAGCGACTGGAGGTACTGCCCCAGCCCTGTAATGAATAAAATCCTATCCTAGAGGTCCCAAAATTTTAAAGGACTGGTAATAATTATAATTGTTAAATACAATATGACTTAAGTTCAGATATACTTATTTCATACATGTAGATCTGATTTCCACAGTTTTGCCTTCATCAGATGTAGGATTTCATATTTATGGTCAGTCCATAATTTTATAGATTTTTTATTTGTAAATTTATAGACATTTATATGAAAAAAGTAGTTGTATTAAAATTCAAAACCACAGGTCAATAATAATAAGATTACTGATTATATTATTAAATATAACAGATTCCAGATAATGTGAGTATCGGCGTATTTTACGCTTTAAAATCAACTAAAAACATACAACGTTACCAATTTGTTGCGTTCATTTACGCACTCTGTAAATTTATTACGCAAAGAATGTAAATTTGAAGCGTTTTCGGTGTGTACTTTCATTTTCGAAACAGCTGATTGACCGCTTCCATTAACAGTTGACTGTGTATCTATTTCCAATTAATACCCGTCAAGATACTTTCAACTATTTTTCTCTGTAAACCAGTCAAATTACGTCTTTATTGCTTAGGTGCTTGATAAAACAATTGTTCTATTTTCTTGATAATTGCAAGGATTTATTAATACACATGTAGTGCATGGTTGCTTCAAGGGCTAATCAAATTGACATTTTTTTCACACAAAATTTTACTCGATAGATTTTTGATCTATTTAAATTTACCCCCACATTCTGGAAAGTGGGGGTAAGTAATTACCCCCAGTGTCAAAAAATTATCTGGAACTCTGTATAACAGTATGGTAATATTTAGAACAATTTGATGACTATCAATTTTTACTTTAAACAAAAATTTAAAAGTCATCATACACTGATGAAACTGACCTCATTACCTTTGTTGATATAAACTATCAATAAAAACAACTTGTCTTTAGCAGTGGAATTTATATACATCATATTAAGTCATCATTACTTTTATTTTTTAACATCTATATGATTATTATACTAATAGTATTCAAAAATTTTGTTGATGGAAGTTTATGAATTGGTAGAGGAAGGAATAATTAATCATGGCAGTGGCTAGCAGTATGAACCAGTATTGTTTGACAAAAGTGCTGGCTGTATGCGAGTCGCATACGACTAGCATATACTCACTGTTGAGGCTAGCTGTACAGCATTTTAAAAATGAGTTGCCTAAAACAATAATATGCAAACTTGTTTTTCTAAAAGAAGATTTTATTGAATATCATATACAATTACAGTCAATGCGAAAGTCAAAAAAAAATTCCTGCCGCAAGGACTTGAATCCTTAGATTTATTTCCGGCCCTGATGATTTTTTTACCGGCCCGGACTCTGAAAAGTTTTTTTGTAGGGATGGGGGAGGGATATTGCCATAATTATAAAGAAAAATATTTAGCATATATGAATTGTCAGACTCAACTATAAGATACTATGAAAAAAATATACAGAAACATAATTAAAAAAACATTAGCATAATTCACAAGAAAACAATACATCTTTCAATTTTGAAGATTGGAGAAAAAATATGTTTTGGTAAGGAAATTATCAAAGACAAGATGGTGGCTGACATTACTTAGCAAAAACTGGTCGTATCCTGCGGTGATTTTGGTTATCTTGGTCTGTGAATACAAGCAAAAATTAAAAAAATAGATTGATCTTGGAAGCTTTGCATATTTTAGAAGGCCAAAAATTGTTTCCAACTGGCTGAAATTTTATTTGGACATGACAACTGACTGTATCGAAATTTATCTCGGCCCTACTGATTTTTAGTTGGCGAGGTCCGAGGACCGACAGTCTTTCGCACAGACTGCAATTTACAGTTGGTATAGTAATTTTTAGTGTTTGATGATCAGAAGATTTGTTTTCCTTCTGAAAATCATGGAGTTGAATAATTTAAATCTGTGTGAAAGCGCAAAGAGAAAGAGACTGAAAATTAATTTATTATTTCTATGGACAATATAGATGTAATACATTTGTAATCAAACATGTGGGTCAATTTCCAACAGTAGTTGAATTTATATGACAAAGTATTTTTAATAATTTTATTTCACTTTTAGCTACTTGAAAATTTCATGCTGGATGTTTGCTTACCATTACATTTTGCATAAGAGCTCTATGATTGACATTAAAGTCCACGGGCCAATTCATTTCTGATATATCTTTCCGATATCTTGTTATAATATAAAAGGCTGAACGTCATCATAGAATTATTAGGAAAAAATATATATGTTCATTCTTTGTAAAAATGTTAGAAGACTTGCAAGTTACTGATTTTATCATTGCATTGATTTTATTTATTATTGAAAAATGCTGAACGGCTATCCTCAACAGTGTGTATAGGCTAGAACTTTCAGTTTGCATTTTAGGGTCATGACGGCTTTCCCGTTGCTGTCAGCAAACTAACCTTTTTCATAACTTTTCAGATCTTGGTGTATTGTCTTCATACTTGGCCACAACAACCCTTCAAATAGACCAGACTAAACTTGACCTCCATATAAACATTCAAGGTAAAATATTTAAATTTTCTTGATTTTTGCTATTAGTGGCTATGACTTTGTTATTTTTGAATGGATTGTCTTCAAACTTGTACGCAACAATCTTTTAGGATAGGACCTGATTCACTCATTAATGTCCTTGAAGCTTTTGTGATGAGAAGTTGTGCAGAATAATACAAACCCAGAACAATTTCATTTACTTGGTTTTGCAATTTCTGAGACAATGGATTTTAAAGATAGTTGTTTTCTTAAAATTTCAGGACAGTATAGTAGATTGTAAAGACATTTAGTACATACTACATACTGTATGTACACTATAATTACTATAGTATACTATAAAAATCTTTGTGCTTGGACAATTTTGAACAAATTGTTTCTTAAACAGTGTAAGAAATTAGGATTTGAATCGACAAGTCTGGTCGGACTACCAGAGTGGAATATTCACTAGACCAAAAGACATTTCACTGGCACGATTCATTTGTTCAAAACAGTTGTTTATATTGCCTCTGAAAATACAGTAGCCTGGTCGGCTTGTTACTGTGAAAAGTTGGTAGCCCGAGGAGAAATTTAGTAGTCAGGCCCTCGGACTACTGCTAATTTCGAACACTGCTTAAATTATTGATTTGATATCAACTAACATAATTATTGGGATACTATATGTATATCTAATAATAATTATATTTTATCTTTCCAACTTTCTGTTTCAGATGGTCGGCCTACATGTCAGATTTGTGAATGTGAACGGCAGGATATCGAGTTTAAGGATGCTTTAGGGTCAATGAGAATGAAATCAAGAGAGATAAAGGCTAAAATGTGAGACTGTCGATCTGACAAACCTTGCAGTGAATAAATGGTAAAATGTTTCTTTCAGTAGCATGGCATTTAAGGAAGCGGTACATGATTATTTAGAAGTGGTTGTATATGATATTTCTTAATTATTATATTCTAATAGCTTTTTTTCTTGACTTGTTTAAAGGCTGACACAGGACAGTTTATTTTAAGTCAGTGAGCTTCTGTCACTGGATAAAATCCAAATTTATAAAAAGGAATTACAGTGTATTTAAATATCATCTTATACTAGAAATTAGGAACAAAATTAATAGCAAGAACAATTGTGACATGTAACATGTATTTAGGAATTCAGCTTTTCTTTCCTTTTCACCTCAGGAGAATTCACATTAAAATATTGAATATTCACAGTAAGCACTCCGACATATCTGACATATATGATTATCTTATCTACACTTAGCTATCTATAGGTTATCAGAATCACTCACATTTATAAATTTAAATAATTTTGAAAAAATTGCTGTTTAGCAAATAGATGAAATACTTGGGGTGTCTGTGGTGGATTGGTTGACTTTGAACCTATTAAGCCTTTCACTGCTGTAGGTTCGAGCTCTGCAAGGGTTTATGGATTATTTCATGTGAGAAAGCTATCCAGCTTATTTATGGAACATTGATGGTACCCAGGTGCCTGAAATCATACACATAGGTGCACCAAGGTCTTCCTCAACCAGTAAAGCTGGAAATTGTGCTTTAAATTGCTCTCCCCCCCCCCCCCCCGAACAAAACAACAAAAATAATGGCATTTTTATTTTGCAATTAACTTTTTCTAAACAAATATTTCAGGAAACAGTGGCGTTTGTATGATAGAACAGTAATAGCAGGAGTGATAAGGACAGATGCATGTAGATGTGTCTTCATGTCGGAAACACTACTAGAGAAATTGAAATATTTGGGTTTTTCAAAACTTAAAAGAAATTGGAATACCAGGAGACTGCTTGCCCTTTGCAATGTTGGATGATGTGATGTCGAAAGCCTCATGAATATAGTAACTTGACTTAATCTAATTAGAAAAAGAAATGACATTGAGGAGAAAACTAGTCACCAGTCTTTCACCAAGAACATGAGATAACTTTCCAATATTTGAAATATCATAATATGTATAGAACTTTAATGAGCGAACAGTTTTTCACCAGGAAAATAAGATCACTTATCTATTTTTGAAATATGTATGAACAGAACTCTATCAACTTCAAGGTGAGAGTTTATCACAAAGAACATGAGATAACCTATGTATGAACAGAACCACATTTGTATATAGAGGCGCCAGTTCATCACCAAGAAGATGAGCTAACTTATCAATGTTTGAAATCTGTTATACCCCCGCACAACAAAGTTGTAAGGGGGGTATACTGGAATCAGCTTGTCCGGCCGTCGGGAGTTTGTCAGTTTTTTCTTGTCCGTCCAATAATTTAAGATTCCTTTGACCCACAGTCTTCATATTTGGCATGGAGGTAAGTCATGATTAGTAGATGACCTCTTTTAATTTTGAGAACACCAAGTCAAAGGTCAAGGTCACAGGGTCTTGACTGAAGAAAGCTTTTCTGCCCAATAACTTAAGAATCCTTCGACCCACAGTCTTCATTTTTGGCATGGAGGTTAGTCATGATTAGTAGATGACCCCTATTTATTTTCAGGTCACCAGGTCTAAGGTCATGGTCACAGGGGCCTTGGCTAATTAAAGCTTGTCCTCCCAATTACCTAAGAATCCTTTGACCCGTAGTCTTCATATTTGGCATGGAGGTTAGTCAAGATTAGTGGAATACCTCTATTGATTTTGAGGTCACTGGGGCAAGGTCAAGGTCACAGGGGCTTTTATTACAATTAGCTTGTCTGCTCAAATGGTCTTATATATTCATCATAAAACACCTCCAGGCAAGGCTGCATGAAATGGGGGGGTGTTATTGAAGTCATTCAATGGCAGTTTCAGTTTTGAGGTCAGTAGGTCAAAGGTAAAGTTCACTTTGATCTTTTCCACTAAAACATGTAGAATACATAACTTAGCAATGCACTGGCTTACTTCCCTCAGATTTGGCTGGGAGGTTGTCTGAGCTGTAAATGACTACTGGTGTGATTCTGACAAATTGGTATGTGGGGGTATTCACGCCATGACAATGGCAGTTCTAGTTTGTACAGAAAATATCAAGGTGCAAGTTTCTTTTATTAAGAATAGACTTATTGATTAGATAACTTACAATATTTACAAACATTTATAATACCATACCCATTTAAAGTATTTCAGCTGAGAGTGTATTATCCAAAATACATGTATTGTTATAATGTACTTTATAGTATATTTATTGTAAAGTTTTGATTCTACTAGATTTTAAAAACATTTAGATTTTACTAGATCTTGAAAATATTTTGTTCCATGCTCTTTCATTTAATTTTGAATAATGAATCCAATAAATACCTATAATAAGTATAGGATTAAAATTGATAATGTTTTCTATCTTTAACTTATATAAAAGTACAAAAGTAATGTTCAAACTGCTGGTTAGATTTCAAACAGGACTAAACAGGAGTGTACAGTGCCATCCTTAGTTGTGCACATTGTTGGCATGTTCTCATCGTCAGATACCCACGGCCGAACCATTAACATTCATCATTGATTGCATGTTATGTGACATGTTTATCAATCGTGGGTATCCGACAATGGCATGTTCTGTTTCTCTGCACAAAATGGCCCCAGAGTTAAAAAAAGAAAAATCTATCACATGTAAAACTGCCAAAATTCAAAAGAGTGATCAGAACCATACACAGTTTTGGGAGACATGTTTTTGTGACAAAAGCCCTTCAAGTTCATATATGACCTTGACCTTTATTAGTCCCCTACCGGTTTAACCGGAGGGGACTTTAGGTTTACCCTCCGTCCGTCTGTCTGTCAGTCTGTCTGTCCGTCAGTCCGTCCGTCCACAAAACTGGATCCCGCGATAACGCAAAATGTACTGAAAATATTTTAATGAAACTTGATATATGGATAGATGGCAGTATGGAGATTATGCACGTCTTTTTTTTTTTCTTCCTATGTTGAAAATTCTGGTTGCTATGGCAACAAATAGCCTGAAAATATGGCACATTGAACACATAAACTGGATCCCACGATAACGCAAAAAGTACTAAAAAAAATTTTTATGAAACTTGATATATGGATAGATGGCAGTATGGAGATTATGCACGTCTTTTTTTTTCTTCCTATGTGGAAAATTCTGGTTGCTATGGCAACAAATAGCCTGAAAATATGGCAAATTGAACACATAAACTGGATCCCGCAATAACGCAAAAAGTACTAAAAATATTTTTATGAAACTTGATATATGGATAGATGGCAGTATGGAGATTATGCACGTCTTTTTTTTTTCTTCCTATGTGGAAAATTCTGGTTGCTTTGGCAACAAATAGCCTGAATTTCAAGATTTCTGATTTAAATTTTTCAGCTTTTTCACTATAAGTTCTTTATTTCTTAAGGTGATTACTTCAAACTTTAAATATAAGTTTCTGGTCATCAACCACATCATATGTGACAAGGTTTACAACTCTAGCACAAAAATTATCAGTATTACCTCCCTTGAACTTAGAATTTTTATGAAAAAAAATGTTGTCTTTTTTAAATAACTTCTTTATTTCCTAATGTATCTACTTCAAACTTCATATATATGTTTCTTATTCTCACTCAACATTTTTGAGAAGGTTAAATACTCTAGCAAGACTATTTCCAGAATTATGTCCCCCTTGAACTTAGATTTTTTTCGAGAAATTGGTATTTTTCACTCCAACTTCTTCATTCATTATAGGATTTACTTTCAAATCCCACATCGTAATAATATGACAAGGTTGTATAAACATAATTTCCTTACTAGGCAGGGAAACTTAACACATTACTGTGATATAGACAAACTTAGAACTCAAAAGATTTAAGTTCATTCATGTCATTCATTCACTGGTAAAATTGACTGGCCAATGGCCCATCAGAAAGTTGCTGGGGTTCTAACCGGTAGGGGACTTATGGATTGCTTGCAATACTATGATAATTGCTTGTTTGATATAAAATATCTGGAGTTAGCTGGAATTGTCATTACTTTGTTATTATTTACAGATTTGATTCATGCTTGGACAAACAAACACAAAACCAACATGTTGAATTTTTCTGATATAACTTTGACATTTAAATGACCATTACCTCCAAGGTAACAACAATTGAAATTCGATCACATTGTCATAACTTTGTTTTTGTCTATGATTTGATTCATTCTTGGACAAAAGAACAATTATCATTTAACTATGACCTTTACTATTCAAATTTGAAATTTACTTTATACATTTATATTATGTTTTCTAGGAGTACTCTAGATATTACAATATTCTCCTACTGATGTGTTTGACTTCCAATATAAGAAAAAGCCGAGCATGGCCCAGGCTAGATAGTGGCTCTTGTTTTCAATGCCAACTTGATTATATGTATCCATTCCAATTTACATCCTCACATGTATTATCTATTGTGCTTGAAAGGTTTCTACAAAAAACAAGTTTGTTCTTACAGTCCTGGTTTTATTTTAGAAATATTTTAAAGACAGTTAAATTTTCTGTTTATTTTCTATCTGCATAATCATTTCTTGGAATAAGTATAGTAAGTACACTGATTTATGTGTTATACACTCACATAAGGAAGTACTTTACATGAAAATTGGTTAAACAACTATAGTTTCCCAACAAAATCCAATGTCATAATTTAAAATGTTTATTCATGATATATATATGATATCAATTATGCATTTTGCCTGGGTTTGTTAGTATGTTCTTGGTACATGATTTTCAATTTTGACAAGAGTTTGGGGGCGATACTATTATATTGTGTACAAAATGGGCACTTATTCAACTTTGAAAGAAGAATGGTATCAGATTGGAACACCTAAAGTAGATTGCTATACAAATCTCGAATTTTTGTATGCAACATATTGCGCCCCCATCAGTGCTTTCAGCACTTTGATTGTCAACAGGCATAAAGAGCAAAACAAAGAATTGAAGCTTACAACTTATCACATCAAAACACTCCTGTTCTGGCTCTGTGAACAAAACAAAGGGGAAGACACGTGGTCTTTTCAGAAGCTTACAGACTTCGCTTTGGCTTTTCTTCTGGAAAAATTACGCATGAAGAAGCTCTCGCACTATTTTATACCTAACAGTAACCTTTTCCTTGATTTTGAGACTTCCGATTTCCAGTTATTGATAGATTGTGTAATGGAAGTACGAGCGTACCCACTTAAAAGCTTGGAATACTTTATTAAGTTAAAAAATGTTAACATGGGGGCGATTAAATTCACGACGGAGGATATGGATTGCTTTTGGGGCATGTCCGCCGATGGAGGAAGAAGTGAACAGAGAAACAAACTAGAAGAGGCAATGATCGAGTTTCAGAGAAGCGTAGATGATGGAATTGGAAATGGTAATTCTACATTACAGCAGGCGATTTTAGAAACCATTGAGTTGTGCCTCAGAGACGATGGATGCATAGATTTTTCACAGTTTGAAGCGATACATCTATTCTTAACAAAAGGTGATGGCGATATTATTAAACTAAAAATGGATGAAAAGACAAAAAAAGATTGTAAGGAAACGGTTTCACTAAGGAAGAATACTGGCATGATTTGCATGTGGTTTGGTCTGCAATCTGTATGGATTTTAGCTCGACTGGGGTTATTACTCCCTACGATTTCCATTCTCCTTTTCTTTGGTACTTTTAACACAAAGATAAAACAGTTGGTCGATAAATTTGGAGGACCGCCAGGGGTAATGGATATTCTACGTGGGGCGTTTTGTGGAAAACGTTTGAACTTTAAAGAAGACGTTAAAAAGCAAATTTTAGAAACTATTGGGCGTTATCTCAATTGTCCAGACGAAGAGGTAGATGCAACATGTTCTGAGCTAAAGTATAAATTAGCTGGATATTTTCACTGTAGAAAAGAATTCTCAGACCTCTCTGGAATACGACAGGATTAAGATGTTAAATACAATCAATTAACTGGCACGAATAGTTCTTGCTAGTGAGTCAGCCAAACAGAATTTAAATATATATCGTAGTTTAATTTCAATATAACACTATGAAAACACTTTGTCGATTAAAACAAGCAAGGCAGTGTGGTTAACAGCGATTCATTTTGTTCTTTCGTACATGATCGATACACTTTTGCTTTTATAAATTCTTTTTTTTAATTCGTTAATAGCATACAGTATCTAAACCAGTTTAAATATCGGTGAGTTTTAAGAAATACGAGCACCTTATTATTTGACATTTGTAATTTTATAGTTTGCCAATGCTTCAACAGATTAAACTTAACCTATCTGAAAATTTCTATTTTTCACTGAAAAATTTTATACTATATAAATAGCACATGTATAAATCTACATGACATTATATCGGGAGATCTTGAAAGAAAATATTTCATAAGTACTGACCTGAAATATACACAAAAGAGTTAGCTTTACATTATCGTATTACGTTTCTATTGATTTCTTGATCATATGCTTTTTTATATTATTATTGTATCAACAAACAATCCAAGTCACCTACGCTCTACGTTGGATTTCCAATACGTGGCGTCAGATTGGTAAGTTCTATTTTTGGTTTTAAAGTAGCGTCGTTATTTCTGTTAATTTATTATTTAAGTGTGGATATAATTTCTTAATTTCTGAATAAAAAGGTATGTGAACTTATATTATATTTACTTTTTATTTTTTATTACGGTTGTGTGCATTTTTCTTTATTTTTGTATCGACCCGGGGCACTTGTTTTATAAGATATGATTTTGTTTGTTTGTTGCTTGGGACACTCCTTTATTTTCGAAACTAAAATGTTTTGAAATGAATATCCATTTTTTTGAACCTATACAAATTCAAGCTTTCTAAATATATTATAGAAATCATTGACTTTATTTGTAGTAGAATGATAATTGTATATACAACCTATCTTATTTTAATTTAAAAAATTGACTTGAACCTGAAAATTAAAGGATAATTTTTATTGCAAGCATTATTTCGTAGTGCCCTATTGGCTCCATAGAAAGAGCATCGGATTCTTAATTTATGGGCTGGTGGTTTAATCCTTGAGCAAGGCGAATTTTCTTCGTGACAATTCAGTACCAAAATTACCTAAGAGGGGGCTTGATAGTGGGCTTTTGCGTCGTTTTGTAAATAATGGAGGATGTCTGTCAACAAAAAAAAACAACAATACGTGTTATTACATATCCAATTTTGCAAAAAGAAAAATTTCATTAAGATATCTTTGGTCTCCTGCTTTAAGCAGGCAAACAAATGTTAGGGGACTTTTGTAATACAGTAAACTTACAGCG